TGACTAGTATAAATCGAATGTCAATTCCTGAGCATGCTTTTGCAACACTTACATTTCATGATATCAATTTTATTGTTGGAGCCAAATCAATATCAAACAGACTATATTTCAAATTTTCAAATCTTCCATTTTTCAAAGTCCGACAATCAAAACAAGTTCTGTTCGATGTTTCAAGAAAATCTATGAACGGAAAATACTTGATAAAAAAAACGTGGGAAAAATCATCACTACTTGATATCCTTACTGACCGAAAAGATTTGAATGGTCTTTCTAAACTTGTACTAGTTGACGGAGCACTACATCACGTGTTCCTTGTGTTATTAAAGAACTGGATCTTGAAACTTGTACCGATACACGTGTAGGTACTGGATTTCTTCGAGTTGCTTCGGGTAGTGAAAAGAAACGAACTTGCATTAATATGGAATTAGTTGTATCGCCCAAGACCTTGTTTCATGATGAACCAACTACAGGTAAAACCGTATATATACTCAATACGTAAAGCGTATGCAAGAGTTCTCAAAATTAGTATCCATCCGACCTCAATTATAATCATCTAAGACATGAGTGTCAATAGCAAATAGTGGAATTTATTTTGATAGACTACATCTCATGCCTTGAAATTAACGAATCTATCTTACCAAAGTGTTGCTTGATCTTTTGTTTTCAACATGGTGAATATTTTATTCATAAGAAACAAATAGAATGCGAAAATACTAATTTGATCTGAAACCTAATTTACAACTTAGTTAGTTAGATCAAACAGTTTTTTGAGTTTTAAGAAAAAACTCTACAGAATCGATGATTATGAGATGAGCAGTAAAAAGTAAGTGAAATCTTACATCACTCACGTCCTATTCTTTATTTCCCTTTTATACAGAAAATATCTAATGAATCATTATCTGTTATTCTTTTTTGTTTCGTATATATAAAATAGCTTATTTGGTTCCACATTAAAATCTTTGTCTAAGCATTTTGTACACATTTTAACAATAAAAACAAGATGTTATATAAAAAAACAAACGTCAACGAAATAAAACTCATTTCCATTGTAAATAGATATTATCAAGCTCATGATGAATTGTATAATTTGATAAAAGTTTTTCATTATCAATCATTTTGTTTAATCTTTTAATCATATTATCATCTGCTTTTGAAACATAAATACATAATAAACGAAGATCTTTATTAATTTTGTTTAAAATAGCTTGTAGAAATAATCCAATAGCCATACGATTAACACATTCGACATTAGGATATTCCATATGTGGACAAACATTAAGAAGAAAATAAATTTCTTGAATTATTTGCGTCTTTTCCATATAAACTTTTTTTATTTTACTTGCATGTTCTATTGAACATGTTGTAGGAATTTTTTCATTTATTAATGATCGATAAAATTTTCAAGAATTAATTTTTAACGTAATAAGATCTGGTAATAAATGTATAATTTGCATTAATCTATCAATAGAAATTGGTTGTTGAATATCCAAATGATAAATTTGTACTATATTTAAAATACGTTTAATATACATGAATAAATCATCAGCAGGTTCATAATAAAAAACGTATTTGTTAGTCAATTGAGTAGATTTTAAATATTCAACTGTAGAATTCTTATATTCATATCATCTTTTTCTGAAAAACAATCTATATGCATATAAAAGAATCTTCTGACATATACCTGTATGGGCAAACTAAATAAAGAATATCATTTTCATTAATTTCAACATTAAATATTAATTTTCGTTCAATCCAAAATGATAAAATGAATTGATTTTGTCCTGCAGAATACAATAGATATTTATGTTCATAATATTTTAAAGAAAGGGTGTGGGTGTGGATGTTCATCTTCTGTTTAGTTACACCCAGATCCAGACCCCACACCCCACACCCACACCCACACCCACACACCCAGAGAAAGTAGAAATATCAATTCATGTGACTCATTGAATTTGACCAGTTGGTGTTTCACTTCTGTGAGGTTCGTGCTAATAAATAATAGTATTCCAGAAGTTGAAGTGTCGATGGATTCATCTTATTCTATTGATTCAGTAAGTAATTCGACTTATCTACCAGGCTTTCTTGAAGACTTAGAATTGTCTAACCTTATTCAAGTCGTGATCATCATGATCATAAGTAACGTTATTATAATGATTTGAAAAATTACAACAGTGTAGGAATGATCAATATTGCATTTATAAAAAGTAAATAAGTCCAAAACTTAATTTCTAAAAATCTAAACCTAAAATAAATTTAGGTTTTCAGGTATGAGAGTTTAAATTTATTTTAAATGTAAATTTGTAAATTTACATTTAAAATTAGTTTAAGTTCTGACATCCAAAAAGTTAAATTTATTTTAAATTTAACGTATTGAAATTCATATAAATAAATCAAATTTAAAATTTATTTAACTCTTCAGCGTTCAAATCTATACTTCATTTAAAATTCAACAAGTTTAAAATTAAAATAAATCAAGGAGAAATAACCATCTCTAAATCCAGTGATATTGAGTTCCGCCATGTGAAAACTTTCTTTATAAAAGAACTATAATGATAATAGTGCCATTGTTATTCGGGCCGGGCCGGGTTGGGCTCTAATATAGAAGAGGTTGGACCGGGCGGGCATGAGCTATTCTTGACCCGGTATGGGCCGGGCTGGGCCATCAAAAATTGGCCCATTTCGAGCCCTGCTACTTAACTACATGTGAAACAATGAAACTATAGAAGAATGCATCGACGAAACGAGTATCCGCTATACCAGCGACGATTAGCCCAATGCTCGAGTGTATATCTTCCTATATCGAGCTTATCAATACTGATCGATTGTTCAATGGTTGCATGAATTTTGTGTCGAGTCATGATACACAGTAAGGCTTGAACATCTGCTATACTAATCGTTGAAAAAAATTTAGTATTCTTAATATTGTCTTCGCAGCGTAATCGTAGATAATTGTCGAAGTCGTCGTGAACAAGATTTGTTTCTATTTGATCCTTAGAAAGTGGGCCTTGAATAGGAAAAAGCAAATATTCTTTTTCCATTTATACAGAATAAAATGTTCGGTTTTTTAATTTCAATACATCTCATCAAGTATTTTATTTTATAGCTGTTTATTTTGAACAAAAACAATAAGAGGATTGTATAAAAAGAATGTGAAAAAGCTATAGATAATGGATGCAAAAATCAAGCTGATTATAAATTAATTGCTAAGTAAGAATTAAAGAAATGTGAAGAATATTATTTGTGTAGTATTGCATTCGCAAAGCTTATACTCGGATAGGAAATGTAAAAGTACAACAAAAAACTACCAAGAAGCTATCAAATATTTGAATCGATCATTTGTGGAACATCGAAACATCGATGTAATAAAAAGAAAAGAAGAAATTGAAAAGATTCTTAAAGAAAAAGAACGGCTAGCTTATATAAATCCGGAATTAACTGAACAAGAAAAGACTAAAGGAAATGAATTTTTTGAAAAAGCTGGTTATTCAAATGCACTCAAACATTATGCGTAAAGTCAACTGTTTTCATATCTATTTCACATAGAATCTCTTCAATTGTTCGTATGTTGTAGTGAAGCTATTAACCCTTCTACGGTGTCCTCATTTTAGAACTTCATCGCTGTCCTGGGGTCCGCCTGGACCCATCCATAGAAAATTACAAAAAATCGATACTTTTATTTTATTTAAGCTATTCTTCTATATATACTATAGACCTCTAAATACTCTTTTTATAACGGCATATGTATCACTTTCCATAGAGGCAATATAAAGACATAAAATGTCGAAAAAGAAGATTGTCTGGATTTTTTTCATAGCACCATTGAAGTATAACTTAAAAGGAATGATAGATCCAATCACTTCAGTCTAGAATGGTAGAACTATACTGGTACATTCACATATATAATAGTCTATAGATGAGAAGAGAAGAAACTTTTCCCGTTAATTATATTTATTTTCACCTTTTTCTTTTTTTTCCGTGCTTAAAAAACTTTAAACCGTAGTTTTTTGGAAAATGATGCAGTTGTTCCTATTTGATTTTCTTCCGTAAATGCAATCTTTCCTAATTCTTTTCTTCACATTTGTGGCAAGTTGCCATTGTAATTGTTTAGGAATGAGAAAGACAGTTGGGTTTGAGTGTGGGTGGGTATGTGGCTTTGTCTGTATGTGTAATTCATTTTTTGCTTTGCCATTCAAACCAATACCTACACTCATAGTCACAGTCACACCCTGACAAACAGTTTAAAATTCACTCAATTCAGATGAATCGACAAACACCATATAATTTGGTTTTGATCCAAAAGCAATCACAAATCTCACACTGTATAAAGAAAATGTGAATCATTACTATTAATGATGAATGTACAAACGAATCATAGTGAATCTATTTGGAAAAACAATCGGAAGACAACAGATGGCAGCGTCAAAAAGACGAAAATATATGCCTATAACATCATCGGTGTTCTAGGATCCATGTGAACCCACAGCTATGTTTTTTCCCTTCTAGACTTATCTGTGATGTTTGATAAGGATATTATGTGTCTACTAAAGACTAAAGATTAGAGAAGAGGAATGATCCGAAACAGCAAATATTAAATTAGTACAACACGAAAAACTGTCAAATGGGTCCACTTGGACCCCATGATACCGTCGAAGGGTTAAACGAAATCCATCAGACGTAAGACTTTATTCGAATTGAACAGCTTGTTTTATAAAACTATTGAAATTCTAATTAACATTGAAAGACAGTGAAGAAGAAATTAGAATTGATCCAGCATTTGGCAAGTTTTCACGGCATGAACGAATCAGTAGCTAAGCAATTTGATTTTATAGCTGAACGTTACCTTCATAAGGTCATACTTTAATGAGCATGAAAGGTTTCTCTCAGGTTATGGTTGCGTTTAATACAGTCCTTCAAATTCAGCCAAATAATCAGATAAAGAAAAAAAAACAAAATAAATTTTATTTTGATCATATATATGAACAAAATATGTTTAGAAAACAATGGAAGGTTATCAGCAATGTGCAGTGGGATTAAGTGATGATCCTGAAATTCAACAAATTCTTGATGATCCAGGTATGTATTTAATACTTGACAAAATGCAAGATCAACCTATGGCAATACGTGAACATTTGCGAAATCCAGTTATCGCACAAAAACTTCAAAAATCAATGGAGACTGATATTATTGCTATTCACCATATTTAATGCGAATCATGGAATAACATTTCATGTTGATGTGTGAATATGTAGTGAAAAAAAATAAGAATGATTTTCAAATTCTTTTTTCTTATATTTCATAACCTTTTATATGATTTTTGCTACGTCACTCCTTTGCAATTCCTCAGGTTATTTTAAAAATAATCTAATCAATACATCGCAATATCGACCGAAATGAAATTGATAAAACTACTGAAATCACTGATTATTAAGTCTAATATTAAGTTTTCAATTATTCAAGTATTATTTTACATTTTGTGCATATAATGGCTTCAATAAAATATTGCACCATCTTACATATCGTTTCTTTTTGAATGCTTCATTTATAGGAATCAATTCACTCGTTTAAATTCTTTTATCCAAATATAATCAGACTGAGAATTCATCTTTTAATTCATGTGATGCAAGTGTATGAATGACTATATTATACGAAAGTGTGAACTTAAATTAAAAGATCGTTAGTCATCAATACTTGCATGTATGATATGACACTAGTCGTCAATAAGTGATTAATAACAAACACCTAGATAGTTCAACTAACATTAGGAAAAAGTTAGAATGAAAATTGTTTTTATTACATGTTCTATGAGTATCAACAATTTGAAGAGTCGATATAAACTGATTTTAATCTGGACTTATGTTGTGATGTGATTGAATGATAGGTATACTTTATTCGATTTGAAACCAATATCAATATATCCCTAAAACAAACGGTTTGATGCTGTTCGAATTCTAAATCTGTTGCAATTATTGAAAAGCACTATCGATTGAAAAGCACAAACTAGAATGAAAAAATATTAGCTATAAATTTTGAATTAAATTAATCATAAGTTTATGTAATTGATCGAAAAAACCAACTTTAGTTTACAGATTGGAATTATTATTTCCTTGTTCTTTGATGTAACTATCGGGAAGAATGATGAAACTCTATGTTTCACCTAGATCAATGAACAATATCTGTAACTATGTCAACGTAAATGAAATGATTGCAAATTGTGAAGTACTAGAATTGTATCTACTAGAATTTGGTTCAATACGATATGATTTATAACATCGAAAGATCAATACATTCAATTAAAACTCTGCGTGGATTTTCAATTTCTAATATTAGAAAACCCACCAAAATACGTTTTCTAACATTCTGGAACCAAATTATGTTTCAGAATTGATCTCGGAAAATTTTACAAGGTTTTCCAGGATAAAAAATAGGTTTTCGAGTGCTCGGAAACCCTTAAAAGGTTCCAGATAGTAACAAAATCGGAAAACTATTCGGTTTTCGAATTGATCTAGGAGACCTATTTTGGTGGATTTTCTAGGAAACGATAATCTTTTACAATGTGAAGTTGATTTCTTGGTAGTTCAGGGTATTAATTACACGTTCGAGCAGGTATTTTGTTCCAAAAATAATGTTTTCATCGTTAAATAGAAGGCTTTGAGAATTTAAAAGTTTCTAGAGTGCTATTCAAAACAGTAACAAGCGTTGTTTATGTATTATTTTTTTTTGTAGTTTATCAACTGTCCAACTGAAACATTTCTACAGCCATACTAAAATATATATGTTATATCCAAATATAAACACTAAAGAATGAAAATCTGAAATGTTATTCTGCAACAAAATTTCTTGTTTTAAAAATCAATCTTTACTCAGTGCCAGTAAGCGATTGACGACAACTCATGATTACTAACGCTCATTATTTTTAGGAATACTACGATTAAAATCTTTTTGTCGAATAACAGCACTTCTTAAATCAATCGACGGAATAAATTGTAAATTAGTGTTGTTCGATGAAAATGGGTTTTTTGATTTCTTTAATTTATCTTGTTTATCACAATCTATAATAAGTTTTGGACATTTTTTATCAACAAGTTCATCTGAAAGTTGTTTATTACAATCATTAAGATAAGCCAATGGATGAAGTCGGTGAACATGTCAAATCCATTCAAGTTGCCATGGAAGGTTTTCTTGTTGATCATATATTCTCATTTTTCCTTTACTCATTCGTTTACAATAATCTTTAATATAATAATTTAATTCCGGTTCTTCTTGTGTCATTTCTGGATGATTAATAACTTTCCAAAGTAAAAGAATATGTTCATTTAATGAATGATACATCATAGAAAATTGTTTTCCATTTTTTGTTTTAATAATTACAGGGTAATTTCTGATAGATGGTGGTAATGATGATGTTGATGAACCCATGCTTCTGTCAACTGTATTAATAAAGAACTTGTTACAATGACTTTAATATCGACTTTATATACGTATTCATCATTTCATTCCCCGAAATGAAGAAAAAGACAAAGTCTTTTTATTGTTCTACACATTTTAATGAATCATTATTTACCTGACAGAGATAATAAAACGCATCATAAAGACAAGGTCATCAATCTATTTTTTTGAATATCTGCATGCTTGACTTGAGGATTAATTTCGAGCGTCATCTCTCGATAAAAGAATTTAGTATCGTTGACGAGTGTCCTCCAATTATAATAATTGGTTGTCTGTGTAATACCGTGTACGATCCATAGAAATCGTTAATAAGATCATTTAAGATAAGAAGATAAACTGAACGATGTCAAGTGACGAATATTTCGAAGAAGATGAAGAACAAGGTACATTCGATGAAATAACAGAAAATAATCCAAATAAAGAAAAAAAGGACAAATGTACTTGTACAAAAGAATGTTCAACAGGTTCCTGTTCATGTTTTAAATTTGGTAGTGGATGTAATTCATCATGTGGATGTAGTTCATCATGTGAAAATATGTTTAATCATTTGGAATATTTCTTTGGTGAAAATACAAAATATTCTGCTCATCCTTGTTTTGCCAAATGGCTCGTCAAAAAAGCTAAAAATACTGATGGTTTAAAAACTATTAATCGTGGTGCATTGTGCCAACTTATTATCAAATGTTCGAAGTAAATATTTGATTTATGTATTATAATTATCTCAAATTGATTCTTTTAGTTTTGATGAAGTTCGTGAGATCGAAGAAGACATCGAAGAATGGATGAAACAATTGAAAATAATTGATAATAATCAAAAATTAGCACATGCTCAAACATTATTTCGAATGCTTTTAGCGGATGATGATACAACAGGACGTTATTATTCATTTTGTCAAGATTATTTAGTCCAAGAAAATTTAAAATGGCATTGTATTAGATGTCAAGAATGTATGGATTGGAGAGAATGGCATTGTGGTGTATGTGATACATGTTTGTATTCCATTAATTTACTTTTATTTAATAAGTTAATTATATAATCTTTTATTTAGGTACTTATGGTGTTAGCTTACCATGTGAAGGATGTGGAGGAAAAAGTGAAATATCTGCTACTATTTGAAAGATTAATTAGATTTTATTGTTTCTTGTAATCACGTTTTTTTTTATTTTACATTAAAAGGTGAACAAACTAGTAGAAATCTTAAATTAACAACTAAGATTATTCTGTACTAAAGCTGATGTTGTATTTGAAATAACATTTGGTACATTATTTGAATGACAAAGGTTATTTGATATAATAAATGAAGTACCATCGCTATTCATTTCTTGTTCATTGTCAAATAATCGACAAGAAATTATTTGAAATTGTGTTACAGATTTATTTGTTACCCATATTCCTCGACCATGTTTATTTCGTACTTCAACACCATTTAGAATAAACGATCCACTATTAATTGTTATACCATTACACCGATTTGAAACATTTGGACATTCATAAACTCCACCATTAAATATCGTTCCTCCACTAATTGATAAAACTGCTGTGGAATTATAATCAACAAAGACTTGATGAATTGTTGATGATGTAGCCCATATACCAATGATTGATACATAACTACTATCACGAATAACTAAACCTTGACCATCGGAATCAAATGTTGCTTGACTTATAAAGATTTCTCGATTTGACCCAGCCCCATTACTATTATCAATTAACATTCCGATTCCTAATCCAATAACATCTGTATTTTCTACATGAACTCCACCATTATTTCCTCGATAATGAATACCAATATTTTCATCAAAACGAACATTAGCTCCAATAACTCTTCCACCTAAAACTCGAACTTCTGAACCATAACCAACTTCTGTTCCTGTTCCTCGTATTTCCCACATAACAACATCACGAATGATATTTGTATCAGCAACACCAGTCATTGCTATTCCTCCAGAGATCGGAGAAGTTTTTGAATCATTGGAATTAAGTAAACCCCCACAGAATAGAAACCCACTGGGCTTCTTTTGTGTTTTGAAACTTATAAGTTTTGGCATGGGCTTCTATTGCGATCAAGTTTTTGCATGTTGCAGCTATAATCAAACCAGCTTACAAGCATATAAAGTCTTAAAAAATTAGAAATTTGAATTTTCAAGCTGTTTGACAACATTCAGAGTAGTTATCATAGTTGTTGTGTACTCAAAAAGTGAGTACACTCTAGAATCGGTCAGTGTGTCCGTCCGGCCGTTTACACGATAACTCTTGAAAAATGTCATCCGATTGTCTTGAAATTTTGCACACGGAATTGTCTCATCAATATCTCGGTCGAGTTCGAAGATGAGAATGATTCGTCAAGAAATTGCTGAGTTATACCAACAAAATCTCATTATTTTCTGTGCTTTTCTATAGGAATATTGACCTATCCCGGTTATTGGGGGTCCTCAAGTCCTATAATTATTGGGTATCCTTAGGTCCCCAAGTCCTATATTATGGGGGTACCTTCAGGTCATCCAGTCCCATATTAAGGGGTAACCTTCGGTCCACAAGTCCTATATGATAGAGGCACCTTTAGGTCCTCAAGTCCTATATTATGGGAGTACCTTTAGGCCCTCAAGTCCTATATTAGAGGAGTACTTTTAGGTTCTCAAGTCCTATATTATAGAGGTATCCTTACTATCACGGAAATAATTAACGCAAATCATATTTTTGTGTGTTCAAAAAGTGAGTATACTGTAGAATCGGTTAGTGTGTCCGGCCGTTTACACGATAATTCCTGAAAGACTAATCCGATTGTCATGAAATTTTGTCCACAGGATTATCTCATCAATATCTCGGTCGAGTTCGAAGACGAGCAGAATTTGACCAGAATTTACTGAGTTTCAGCAAGCAGTATCCTAATTTGGGTGTGGGTGTGGATGTGGGTGGGTGTGTGGGGTGTGGGTGTGGCTGGATGTGGGTGTGGGTGTGGCTGGGTGTGGGTGTGTGGGTATGGATGTGGGTTTGGGTAAGAAGAAGATAAGCACCCACACCCACACCCACCCACACCCTTTTCATGACAATACTCTCTACACTGATCTTTCTAAGGACATAAAACATGGATAAATCTCGGTTAGCTCAGTCACTTGATATACAGTACAGAATGTATTAAAAACTCAGCTTCTATTAGTTAAAGAGTATTGCTTTATAACCCTCCTTTCCAATAAGGCATTGAGCCTCTCCTCTTACAAGTGGTTCAATTTCACTTAAAAACAAATTCGAACTTCTTCTAGAAGCATCAGCAGAGAGAATCGACCCCTCCTGTAGGCATGGATATGGTAACTGAGCCTATCCTACAATATGTTTTCTAGTTATGACATTATTTAAAAATGAAAATAATTTGCTATATCTTTCGAACATATTTTTAAATATATTTTTTAAAGATTTCAACTAAACCGAGGTAGATTTGAGCTTGAGAGTTGGTGTTTGATGTCAGTTTAAATAACAAAAAAATTATGAAGACAAAATGGGTGTGGGTGTGAGAGGAAGAGAACATTCACACTCAAGCCCTATACACGGACACCCATATCCTCAGACTCACATGCACTCTCACATATGTCCACTACTTCACTCGCATTCACGAGTACACAGTCATTCACTCTAAGAACAGTAGGAAAGATCACGACTGTTGTTATGTTCAATCAACTTGAAACTTTGGGTTGATGAAAATTTTCCCCTTGTTACGTCTTACGCATAAATTAAATGGAACATGCTCACAAATTTGGTGTGACTGATGTCCGGAGTACGAGCATCCATTGATGTATTTGATTTGATAAATTGCGGCGCCACCGAATGCTGAGTCAACTGGAATGAGTGGATGATCGTGAGGAATCGGCTTTTGATGAATACTGATGTAGGTCTCGACGGCTCGATTAAGCGTGATAAGCTTGATGACAAAGTTCGATACTCGATGCCAGCAGTCGTAAGTAACAACTTCATTACGTAGAGCCCATATGTCATAATAGCCGCCATGCTGAGAAGCTGTCATAGCACCCCATTCATCAATATTGTAATCAAAATTTGTCAAGAATCGGACTTCATCTAAGCGTGTGTTCATATCCAGATCAGCTACTATGTAAAATGTTCGTCTAGATGACATGAAAAGCTCATTTTTTCGAGCTTTATCTAGTACATCGTTTCGACAATGTGCAATGCGTTCTGATCGGCGAGCTATTCGGTGTGACAAGTTACCGTAGGTATGTATGGCCACGTGAGGATTCTCTCGACTCCATTGATAAAGAGATGCCAGCGTTTTATCATTGGAGTCTGATTCTCCGATGTAAATATCATACTGGGCAAACAATGAAGTTATACGTTCAATGTTTGCACGAAATAGCGGAAGTCGCGTTTCAATGTTGCGAGCACAGGCAGTCACAATCAGCGAATAGTTGTTTAAAAATGAACGTTTTGCGTCTACACTCAGCTTCGATTCGGTAGGCATCAATTTGGTCGTCGATCTTACCAGCCAAAAAGTAATAGGTGACGGGAACAATAGCTTGAGAATAAGCCATATGAACAATGTAAAAGCAATAATAAGTAGAGCTATGGCAACACGACGGCATGATCCATTGATGAAGTTGCTGGCTCGCATTTAAGTGTCTATATCTCCTAGAAAGAAACTGGTACCAATGTTTCAATATCGCCTATTTGACAGAATTACAGTCTATCTAAGCGAAAAGATGAAAACCATCGTATTAGTGCCTTCGGAAAGTATTTCAATCACTGGTGCAAACAATGGTCGGCGTTGTACTGGAGGATATGAGAGTGAGGTGTGAGTAAATGTTTAGTTTTTCTTTTCAGCCATTCACAAACGTTCCCTCAGATACTAAAGAGCAGAAAATTTTCAATGAATAATTATGTGCACGAAGAGCAAGCATTCGAATTAAAACTCGGAAAAGACCTTGATACATGTGAGTGCCTCATTTATAGTCTACTGCCGACTGCCCGTCTTTGAAAGAATGCGAGATTGCATTGAACTCTAAGCATGCAACGACATCCACTGAAGAAGCACGTGGCTTGCCCTAACAGAGAAGCAGTGTGAAATTATATCGCATTTGTCATGACACCTTAACTAAAACTTCGGCAGTAGGCTTCTGAGCAAAAAAGGCAGTGAGATTCTGTGAAAGACGAGAACCGAAAAAATATTTTTATGCAAAATATGATTCAGGAACCTATGATGTCTAGCATTCAGATAGAAAAGTTCCGTTCTCGTTCGAATCTGTAGAACTATTGACACAATTCAGTTCAGGGTTCAGCATTGATAAAACAGTTCGTTTGATTGGAACTAATGTTTTTCTTCAATTGATTAACTCATTTGATCTTAGCTCATGAGCTGAAGCTGTCATAGACCTGGTCTACAATAAGATTTGTTGAAAATTCATAGAACCTATGACATTAAAACTCAAACTTTCATTGGATTGCACTAAAATCATGACAAGTTCTTATGCATCGGATCTTGTAAAGGGCTAGCGAAACTTGAAAGCTTTTTAACTTTTTTCATCGGAAATCTATCGGAAACCGTCAGCAGCCATTGAAAAAGCTCAATGTTTCCGAAAGCCAGCACAAGTTTCCAGTATCTTGAAGAAACCATTAACAGTCAGTTCATGAAGTGCTCGGACACTTAAGAGAGAGTTCACTAGAGCACTATCCAAGCTGACAGCCACTAAATGTTTTCTTGGGTTTCTTTTAGAGTAAACAAAAAAGCTTGTTAGCGCAGCTCCTTTGAAGCTAAAATGTGGAACTCACGTATATCCTTCAATCCTGTTATCTTAATAGGTCACCTGTAAACTGAAAACTTTCTTGTCGACTATAGGTTTTTTTGTAATTAATTGCTGACAAGAAAAATAATTGATCATTTAATTTCTACATTTAAAATTGAAACTCTCTTTTTCGTTTAAGCGCGCCGATCTTTTTTTATTACTGTTGCTATACACTTAATAATAATCAATTTTTTTAATTTTGTTTTATTTGAAATTACTTTTTTTTTCATCATCGATTATTTCATGAATATGACTATTAGAATAATACAGTTTATATCTGTAAGCCACTCTCATCACACGATTATATATCACAATTAATTTATAAATGGTGATACTGTATACGTCTGACACTGATACAAAGGTGGGATCATGTTTGTCACATTGATTATACCATCGGTATGACAGATCAATACCTATTATTACTTTTTATTGGTGATTTTTTACGTGTACATTTTAATTTTAAAAAATAATCAGTGATTACATTATTAGGAACTTTAACAAATTTATATTAGTTTTTTCCAATATTTATGAAAACATTGAAATATTGTATGACAGTCAAACTCATATTCTTCATACTGTTCAACTCTCTTTTTATTGTTAAATAAAGTTGAAGTTTTTTTATGCCCGGTTGCTGAGGTCTGTAATGGATGGTGTCTGTAATGGGGGGTGTCTGTAATGGGGGGTATGTCTGCAATGTTCTCTTTCTCCGTTACTATGTGTCTGTAACGGGGTGGGGGGGGTGGGGGGGGGGGGTGGGGGAGGGGGAGCCGCGAAACCTCGACTTAAAACTTACACTCACTATTTTCTTCAAAAATATACGTGAGTTCCACAAAATCATATAGAGAAATCTATAAATGCAAACTATCGCTTTTTTCTGACGTACTTGTGAAAAATACCGAAGATCACAATCTTCGATTGTTTTTGTACTTAGACCATAAAAATTAAAAAATGGCTTTTTTTCACATTTCGATGGTATTTTGAGGTTTTATCTACCTCTATTCATCGTTTTAACTCGGGGGAGGTGTCAAAATATGCAGAAAGGAGTTTTCTACAAAATAAGCTATCTCAGTTGCCATTACAACAAATTTTAGTAGTTGATCAAGCATCCACAAGAAAGGAGGTTTATCGTTCAGATTCATCCTCTGGCCAGTAATACGTATGTCTCTAACCTCCTCGAATGAGTCCATCTCATAACAAAATGAAGTCAAGGTGAGATGTGGGTGTGCGTGTAATTGGGGTGGTTCTTGGATGTGGATTTGAAT